TCTTAGGTCCTGTTTTACTAAATCAAAATTTCGAAGCGTTCCTCGGATAAAACGTGATGTTTACTTTCTATGGGCGACCTAAATTTTACATATATAATTACAGAATAATAATATTAATAATAATAAAAATATAAGAATGTGATGTAAAACCATTTTTCACTTCTCCCCCAGAGAGGAGTATCTCCCGAAATAAAATAATCTATATATCGTTGGAGACACAAACGCAACCGTGAGTCCAAGTGCGATAATGAAACGACGAACACGACGTGCGGTGAAGCGGCGCGCATCGCTTTAGCTTAGTACCTCTTGTTTTATTCATTGTTTTTTTTTGCTTTCGCATTCACGCGTTTCTCCCCGCGTCGATACGTCGTCCCTTATATGATCGATAACGGTCTCAGCATCCTCTTCGCCGTTGGCGATCGTCGCGGGGCTCGTCCCCGTAGGCGGTCGCTCGGTCGAAGCCCTTTTTTAAAACGGTACACACAACTTATCCCCTAGTCGTATTATAACAAATATTGCCTCGAATATAAACTTTGTATCTTATTTAAATTATATCTCATTTGCATTAGGTCTCTCTTTCTCTTTCTATCTCTCCCACTCTTTCACTCCCTCTCTCTCTCTCTCTCTCTCTCTCTCTCTCTCTCTCTCTCTCACGGACAATGGACAAAACGGCGGGTATTGATATTCACGCATCTCTCAAGGGCGCGCGCGTTTCGGCCCTTATTATCTTACGTTACGTATGGCCGAGAAGTCAAAGAGTCTATTTATTTTAGTTTAGTAATAGAATCGTTTGGTTCGCTTCGCAAAATTTGTTCGGAGATCTAAAACCATTCTTATAAAAACGCCCCTCGGCCCGACAAAATATTACCGAGGGACACTAATATATTGTGTGTGTGTGTGTGTATGTGCGTGTGTGTGTGTATGTGTGTCGCCGACGTTCATTGTTCTTTATTATCGTGTGTATGTATGTTTTTTTATCCTTCTTTTTTTTGCTTCGATATATAAAATTCTCAATTCGCAGTCCGCAATCTGATCAAAAGTGTACGAGTGCCACGCGGCGCTTGTTCGAGCGTGTGAGCACCGATACGTCGTCTCGTCGCAACCTGAACACTACAGCTTCAAGTAGGAGGGCAGGGAAAATGGACCAGGATTCCTTCATTTATTCGATTTGAAAAGCGGAGATGTGAGGATAGTGGAAATGATTTAATCCTCTTAATTAATAGCAGTCTACACGATTTCATAATGTTTAGGACCCGCGAAAAGCCTCGCACGAAAGAGAACCGAGAAGCAGTTGAAAGACTTGCATTGCCACTCAATAAAAAGTCAGTAACGTGACGAACAATTACGTTACGTCACGTAACGTTCGACCGTGGGGGATTAACTCTTATCCGGGTAACCGGAGTCAACATAAATTATATTCTTGCGCGAGTGATTTTTTTTCCGCAACGAAAATCAATATTCTTTTCTTCGACTGAAAATGTCATTTATAAAAAATAGTGGTTTTATTTTTCTTCTGATTAAATTATAAATTCTGAAGCTATAACGCAACAAAGTTTAAGTTCAAAAGAATATATGAATGCATATATATATAATTTTATGTAACAATTATTGACAAATAATATATAATAATTGTTCTTAAATCATTTTTATTTTCGGTATATTTTATGATGCGGAGCAAAACGCAATCACATCATAATTAAAATAAAATTTGCGATTAGATTCGGTAATCTAAATAATTATTTGGTACAAGAACATGGTAACCCACAAAGCAAAAGTAATGTAAGCTTAAATTCGATTATGGCCCCAATTAAAAAGTTCTTTAGTAACAGTAGATTAAAGAATAAGTTCAAAAATTGCAGAGGAGAACTATATGCACAGTTGCTTTATGTGGATTACAATGTTGTTGCAGCAAACCTTGCAGTGAATGAAATATCGTTACGTTAATCTGTCAAAGAGTTCTAATGAGAAATTATTATCTGAATTACAAAATCAGGTTATCCGGATGAGTGTTAAAATATTAACGTTAATGTAAAAAACGGATGTACAGTAAAGTAAGATGAGAAAAACATTGCCGCACGACACTTGTCGCGGGCCGAGCTTATCACGACAATAGAGCAGCGCGTTATCAGTGACACTCAAAGCGGATTGGCTGCGTTCTCGCAGGTCGCGCAGTTTTCGGAGCACGATTGATTCAGATCATTCCTCTGAACACTCCCCTAAAATTCTATTCCCGTGTTTAATAAGTGGTCGCTGAGAAATCTCCGGTTCGTTTATTGGATCCCACAGAGTATGGTCGTCGAGGAGCATGTGGCTCGGCTTCAGAATAAATGTCGTGACGTCGTGCACGCGCGCGACGCCGTGAGTTTGGGTGAGGCGATCGTGAGACGCGAGCGAACGAACGAGAGAGCGTCTCGTCGCGATCGTGAGAACGCCGAGACGCCATATACACGTCCGGGCTTCGCGGAAGCAGCGCCCACCTGTCTGCTTCGCGAGCAACCACGAGAGATTCCGCACTTTTCGCACTCGGCACGGCTTTCAGTTTCCACGAATCGCGTTCTTCCGAGAGGATTTTCTCGATCTTCTCAGTTGCCCCCTCTTCTGAGAGGTTCGATCCTCCTTGGGCGATTCCTCTTCCGAAGAAGTTGAACCGTCCTCGAGCTATTCTGCTACCATCAAAGAAATCTATAGAGTGGTATCTTTTTGATGGCCATCAGGAAATGGATTTCATCTTGTTTCAGTCATTCTACGAAGGCTCTATCATCTCTTCCTTTTCTGATAGATCGTATTTTTAACTCTCTTCCAAGAGATGTCTTCAAACTTTCTTGAACGATTTCTCTTTCGAAGAAACTAAACTTCCTGCGAGCTGCCTCTTTTCTAAGACAGCTTTACTATCGTCGAGCCATTTCCCATCTCTTTCGATCCATCTTTCTCTTAGCTAATGGAGTATTACCTTCTTCTCTCATCCAACAAGTTTCTATCCTACTCAGATTGTTTTTTTTTTTTTTTTGGGATCATTACTCTTGTAAGAAGATTTTACAGCCTTACTCGAGACGGTTCTCATTTTCAAATTCCTCAGTATCGGTGCCGAATCGTCGAGTGAGAAGTTTCTACGAAAATCGCATGCATGGTTCCTCGTGAAACGTACCGATTTACTTCCAAGCCCTTTGATATGTATGCGCGTCGGAGGCTGCTAGTCTCCGAGCTATTTACAGGAGTCTCCAAAATTGGAACGCGGCGCGTACGTATCATTCGTTTCGCCCTTTCCCGCGAGACGTCGCGAAAATCGTGACCAGCCGGCCGCGAAGGATTCCTTGCGATTTCAACAGTATCTATTCCGATGTTCCCTCCGACATGTCGTTGCACTTATACCCCACCTCTCGTCGGACGCCGAGTTTCGTGTCCGATTCGCGTTGACAACGTGTCTCCAGTGGAACACGGTATTAAGCATCAAGTTACACACTGTACCATCGGAAACTTTCCTAAGCCTTCGACCACGATGGGACTACGAAGACTTTGAGAGCATATCTAAGAATACACGCGACCCTTTTCAAAACGGTAAACCTCCGCGGACAGCCACAGTACGACTGGTTGTCTCACTGTCTGTTGCCTTCGATCAAAAATAAACGACATCGCGACGTACGCTTCCTTTTCGCTGCAGAGATGATGTATCTCGATTATTTTTCACATTTTTGGAGAGTCCATTCTCGGCCGATCTCGCGTGCGTTCGTCTCACCCATTTGATGTGTGGGGGCCCGCCGTATTAGTAGGGCCAGAAGGTAGGTAATGGAGGCGGGGGTGGTGGTGGTACGGTTGGATAGAGGGTCGGGGTGGCTATTAGGAGACAGGTGGGTGGCGGCAGAGGTGGCGGTACTGGTGGCGGCGGCGGTAGGACTGGAGACAGCGTTATCGCTGCGGCTGCGGGGTGCAGGGCCGTGCCCGCCGTCGCGGGGGCACACAACGGGTGCAGGGCGGCGAGTGAGGGGCGCTGGCGCTGACGCTGACGCTGCTGGCCCTGGACCTCGCCGTTCTATTCCGAGTCCTGCTGCATTTTGGCGTGGCCATTACCAGCGGAATTGCTCGACACGCTGCCGCTGCTGGGCGGGAAGCTCGTGGGTATGGTGCGCGACGACGAGAAACAGAGCTTCATGATGTACGGGAACTTGCCGTCTGTAACAGATAAACACGGCGAGGGGATCGCCTTGTAATATCTTGCTGCCGAACTCGCTAGCGAAGAGACTGTCGAGTCGACAAGAGCGCTCGTGTCAAACGACGTTCCTTTCAAGTTCCTGGAGTTTGACAGCTTTCGCTAGCTGGAGGATTATTGAAGAAAACCAGAGCTTTAGATGAGCTATTTTCCGACCCTATTCTTTAATTATTACGATGTTGCTGATAATCTTGACTGTCATCCCGTTTATTTTTCTAAAAGATTGATTAGAGAGTTTAACATTTCGAGAACAATAAACTGATACATATGATACATACCTATAAAAAATTTTCTTAAAATCAAATACTTATCGATACTCTTTCCGAACGTTTCAACAATTTTTATGTCCACAGTAATTCCCTTAGCTTTACTTTTCGATATAAAATCAATCATGTCAAAAATCATGGAAGAGAAGTATAAATGGAAGCTAACGAATTTCTATGGTACGAAGAGAATCGTAAACCTGAACGAGGGAAGTGAAATCCGAATCCAAATCGGACGAATAAGCGATAAAGTCACATCGAGACCAACTGCGGGATATCATAATCGCGTAAAATTCTCATAACCACTATCTCGTCAAGAAATGCTGCGCGAGAGAAATCTAAGTTTTACGATTGTACACGATCGTATGTCGATACTTACTGCTGTTCTCGAGCGCTGTGTGATTGCATTCCATGATAGCGGCCACCGCGATACCGACACTGCTGAACTCGATTAGACCGGACGACGATCGTTCAGACTTGAGAGGGAACAATTTGATCGTCGTCGGCGCTTCGATGCCGCGCTCTATAAACACGCGATTCACTGTTTCCTCGGTTAGATCCGGTGGAGTGTTGAAGAAGTGAACTATCTTCGATGGTGGTTGTATTCTGTTCTTATTGGCCATCGCAGGATTCAGGAATCTGCAACGATACATTGAAAATCGGATCTTGTAGACGTCAGTGAAAAAAGCATATATCGTGTGCGAGAAACTATGTATTTTTTTGGCTGATATTTCTAGACTAACAAAAAAAGGTCCTTGAAAAAATTACGTATCTTTGGAAATATTATACATAGAGGATGTCCTGATTTTATGTGCTATTTTCTTGGCTATTGAATGCATTCTATGTATATATAAACAGATAAAATAAATCCTTGGAAGTCTATTTTCGTTTTTGTTTTATTATTCTAATAAAAGGAAATAAAACAAAATTTTAATACATAGAAAAAAAATTTTTTTCATAAAATTTATCTAATTTTTTATTTGGTATTAAAAAATTTATCAAACTGTCTATTGAATTTATTTATTTTAATTTATTTATGTTAGAAAACTTATCAATTGTTTAAAGAATTAAAAAATATGTATGTAAACAAAAGCAAAGTCAGTTTCAGAAATTAATTGATCCTTTTAACGTGAATTCAAACAATAAAAAAATAGTTATATTTCATGTTATATTTCAGGACACTATGTATTGTCAACATTTAAAAACTTATTGAATTTCTGAGTTGCAAATCTTTTTTGTAAGTTTTGTCAATTGGAAATATCGTTAATAAAAACTGAAAAAAAAATTATCATCGTAGCCAATATGTCAGTCGATTTGTTCGTCAGTTTTTTAAAAAAGAGAGTAGCAAACGCATTTAATATTTTCGTTCAATTTTTACGATGATTGGATGAGTAAACATTAAACTTGGAGTATCTCTAAATTCTAAAAAGAAAGTTTAATCAATTTCATTATTAATATTGTCACTGTACAAAAGTTTATGACTGAAACAATATAAACTTTTGTTCATTTGCAGCATTAATAAATAAAGTAAATTATACTTTCTTTTTAGAATTTACAAAAGCTTGTACCTTTTCAATTATAAACTTTATTAGTATACGAAATAAAATTTAATATTAAAACAATATAAAATTGTATACGTTTACATATTATTAAATAAAGGTAATTAAATTTTCTTTCAAAAATAAAAATTCATATTTTCAAAATAAATTATATCTGAATAAATTATATCTAAAGAATCGTGATTTTATTTAAATATTACGGAGTGCTCACAACTTTTAAGTGGCAATGATACTTCATCATTCAAAGAGTTTTAAACTACATAAAAAAAATATATATATATATATATATATATATATATATATCAGAGTATTACGAGACTTGCAAAAAGCTGCAAATGGACAGTTTCATCATCTCGAAACACAAAGAAGTATTATCGGAAAAAAATTAAAGAATATCGTAATGTTGCTCTTTATTCCTTCTCTCTTCGTGGACAGCTTTGATGAAGCCTCGAGGGGAATATATGCCTGGCTCCGATGTGAAATTGCTCTCTTTTACGTTCCGTGCAATATCGCCGTCTTATTCTTAACAAAAATGTCAGCTTACAGTTCTAGGCCCTCAATTACGTGAAGGAAAGCGGATTTCCACAACGGAGGAGGAAAATGTCCTGCGGAGAACATTTCTGGCACATAGTTTGTCTTTTGCGAGCTTTGGGAAACTTTTTGTGACTGACTTCTTGCAATCAGAACTCACGCGCCCAAGGCGGGGACTCGGCTTTCCTACGGGTGATTAAGTTTTTCATCGGTTCAAAATGTTTTGCCAGAAGAGCTTTTTCCTTGCGACTTTACTCCTAAAAACATGTATCATGCGAAAGTGTGTTTTCTCACTTTGTTAAATTATTCAGTTTAATGAATTACTTTGCCATGAGACATGCTTGAGCGAAATTTAAATAAGCTTCTTTCAGGATCATCTTAAATAAATGAGGTGCCAAGACTTAACGATAAGTTGAAAGTAGAAAATTTTAAAATAAAACGAGGAGAAAGAGAATCCACGGGGAAATTTTGAAAATTTTAATTTAAATAAATTGCTTGCAGCATTAACGCGTTCACTGCAACGCATTCTATTGTCGAGTAATACTTATTCTTGAACAATGGATATCAAGTAAGAAAGGAGAAGAGGATTCTTTTATAAAACCAGTTGTTAATTAATCCGATTTTTATTAAAGATTGAATGTTTGGGTTGTTTGTTTTAATTATATTACTTTAACGTATAATACAGTTTTATCACTGTTGATATGTATTTGTAGATATATATATTCAATAGTTACAAATTTATTAAAACCTTAAATATATAAGAATTTGTATTGTTTAATTCGATCTTGTTGTATCACTTTTATACTTGTTGGTTTTTTCTTTTTCAAATATATGCACAACAAACCAATTTTCTCTTTCCTAACTACGCGATTTTTACGTATAAATGAAAACTCTGACGGAGACATTTCCGCGCATTTTCCGTAATCCTTGCAGTACAATCGGAAGAGCTGGAACTTAATCGGTGAGCCGGATATCATCAGGCACGCCCTTTTGAGCGACCGATGGGCGGCCAGTGGCACGCTGGTCCAGACATGAAATCGCGCGGCGGTGTCGTTAGCTCCTATTCAACCTTTAGATTTGATTCTTCCGCTCGAACGCGTCCGCATCCCGGAGCGTGACTGGGGACAAAACCGTACGATTTCAACTAGGAGAGAACTATGGAGATTTTCAGCGTTCACCCGGAGCGGAGAGAGATTTAAATCGCGCTCGTTTACGTGTCCTCATTTAATTAGTCTCCTGAGTTTAATCTCGCAGAGTGCCGTCGCAATTTGCCAGATCGCACCGTACGCGTACCATATTCTTCGTTACCGTTTCTACTGTCCCATAAGAATCGTGCGAGGAACGACGATGGGAATAGGTCGATAAAGGAGGATCACATTATCGAGACATCCGTACTTTCTAAGATCGATGACTTCAGTGAAGGATAGATATGTCAATTTAATAACCTATCGATAAATCTACTACATCTGACAGGAACCTAATCTTGCAAGGTATTCCGATACATTTCATTGCCTGTAATATGAAACAAAATAAGAGGGATGTTTTTTAAAGCTTAATATATTTGTTGCTTAAAGAGAATCTATTAGAAAGGATTCTTATTGAATTTATTGATTGACTGAAAATTTGATATGCTGTAGATACTATCCTGAAAAGTCATTATGAGCACAACTCTCTATAAGTACTTTTCAAAACTGGCTAATATCACAATATCTTATATTCAACAAAAACTATACATTCCTACTTTATTGCATATTTTATTCTATTCTATGTTTTAAATAAAAAGCGACAACTCGTAGCGTAATAGTTCATAAAAACTTTTGATTTAAACACATTGCTTTATTTATAATTACTTTTATTTTTAGGTGCAAAAAGTTTAGCAAAAGTTTCAATTACTGACGCTTGTAACAAAATAATTTCTCTCGATGCATTATAGACGAGGCGTTAAATACGAAGCCACGATGAATCGTTTTACACCGCGCGAATTTGTCATGCGCGAGTTCGCAAATAAAACATGCGATTAAATGACGAGGAAAGGAACAGTTGCCGAGAAAACTTGAACGTGCATCTCCACGACAGAAATTTATATATACTCTTCTCGCGCCCCATATATACATATAAAGGCGAGAAAATAACGCGATGGAGAATGGGAGAAAGATCAAGCGGAGACAAATGGTCTTCAACGTGCGGATGCAGGTGAGTTGAGCGAAAAACGACAGGAGGATAAAACGAAGTGAAGAGTTGACGCGCACATAAGGACTTACCTGTTATTCTTGCTTCCCGTGAAGTCCTTGAAGCTTGCTGTCTTGTCGGGTAGAATGTAAGGGTTGGTTACGTCCGAGAGGAAGGCCTGCTTTGAGAAACCAAGCTGCAGCCTGCCGTCCGTCCCGATTGTGACGTTGTTCAGGTTCTGCAGACATCGTTCTACGGCTATGCTGTCTCCCATTTGTATCATCGCGCAGCCCTCCTTTGTTTTCAAAAATTTAACCTGCGATAAAGAGGCAGAGAGCTTGAAGTTTATAGCTCGGATAACAGAAGGCATACAGCGCTCACGGAATGTGTGAAATAACAAATGCGATCAATTCTTTGGATGTGTTCTTCGGGAGATGTTATTAGCACTATTCGTGTCATTCTATTTTTACATTCATTAGACGTAGAATAGAATGATACAAATAGTACTAATAGAATTTCCTTGAAGACACCCTTTAATGATAATTTATTAGGGAATTAGAGATCAGTATCCATAATTGATTCTTATTTCAAGACATTAAAGCTATGGTATATAGAAACATAAGACAGTAAGATGTAAGCAATAAGTGAATCGGCCAATCGCAGACTTAGAGACGTTAGGTAATAATGTAAATAATAGTAAATTCAAAATATTAATTTGTTTATGTTACTGTTTTAATTTTTTATATGCCATAGCCTCAAGTAATGTTTTAAGGAGCTAATATGGCTCTATGATTAGTTTATGATATTTTAAGACTGTACTTGAGATATCATGATGGTTTTAATTTTCTTCGGTGCCTCTCTGGATATGACATATTTTTTTTTTCTAATACTTTTTCCAATGCTTTTCCATAATTACTTGTAATTTTTTTTATTAATGAAGATGCATTTATTTTGTACTGTTTTTTAACGTTCTTAATTCTAACGTTTCAATTGAAAAAAGAATGGTTAGTAAAAATAGATTCATTTTTATAAAAGCAATCAAATTGGATTGAGTATATCATATCCAAGTGTGTCATTTCCGTAGTGCGACACCGAAGAGTTAAATGTAAGAACCGTCTACGAATAAGTCAAAGTAATGTTCGATTGTATAGCCTTAAAAGAATTCAATGTCCGTCGTGCAATTTACATAAATTTTCTTAAGCTTTAATAATAATTTATCGGCAAGAGTTATATTATTCAACATTTAAATCATTCTCAATGTTTAATCAAAAGCTATGTGTTTAATGAAGGGACCATTTATGATCCGTACAGCAGTGCGCGGAAATTTGGCTCTTATTAAATATAAACACATGCGCTCTTGCTAATCCTTGTTAAATGTATAAACGTACGTGGAAACTGGAATCTGTTGGTCGTCGTTAAACGCAGATTCAGTGTAAGGGACGTCAATGTTTCTACCGTGTTAACGCGAAGTACTGTAGCGATAATTAAGTCATGCGATCCTTTTGTTCGGTCCTATCAGCTCGTTCCATTTAACGCTCTAAACACTACAGGCGTCGAACACAAAGGTTCGGGGGAGAGTTGGTAATACGGGGAGACAAGGGAGCTGAAGATCCGCCACGTACCTTCGTCACATTGCCGTACAGGCAGAACAGGTTGAAGAGCTTGTCGGTATTGACTTTGTCCGGTTGTAGTCCGTACACCATCATGACCGAGCCTTGCGTGCTGGAGGGCGGCGTTTGGCCCAAGGTGGGCACATAACCCGGCCGAGGTGGTGTGGGATGTAACGGCTCACGGCCACTGAAATCACTCTTGATGCCGTAACGCTCTACGTACGGCTCCGCATACGTCGCCGGTCCGTTGAAGTTCTCCTCGTAACGATCGTGACCAGCACCCGGTGGAAAAGTGACCTGCGGTGTGGAACCTGAAACCGCAGATGCACACCAAACACTACAGATGCGGACGAGCGAGATAAATGACGCGCGCAAAATATTACTGTCGGTGGTTATTCATCGTCAACTGTGACGGTCACGCGCATTCGGCGAAATCAGCACGTCGCGAGGATGTTTCGCGAATTTCGTATTGGGTACATGTACAACCTTGCTTGAGAACGTGGTACGGTTATTTAATTCATAACTCCGGCTAGCCGGCTAGCGGTATTTGATATATGAATTATAAGGAACAGAGTCAATTTACTTTTTCTCTGCTTTACTTGAGTCTTTGAAAAACGATGCTTTATAATTTATATGAATATTGAGTAATTTATTAAGTTTTGTAAAATGGTAAAGCCACTAGTAGTGCTAAAACAATGAAAGAAGAAACTATTTCTCTGAACATTCATATTTTGAGGCAAAAAATACAATGAAATAATGAGTCATAATAAATCTTACTCAACGAAAAGCTGCAGTAAGATTTAAAAAAACAGACTCGTATTCAATGTAAAAATCTATTTTCTATTTATTTTTTACCTCTTTTATATTATTGTATTTTATTCGTTTTCTTTCTATAAATATAGATTTTCGAATTGTACGAATTTATGAATAATTTTTTGAGAGCAGATTCCTTCGCCAAAGATTTTTCCCAGTTAAAAAACTAGTGTTTGGTTAAATTAAACTGCTTTTTAAAGAACTGATCTTAATACAAATACAAAGCATTAATTTAATCCAGCATCCTAGTTTTTTAAATGGAAAAAGTCTTTGGCGAGAATCTGCTCTCCGGAAATTATTCATATATAAATTCGTAGAGTTTGAAAATCTATGTTTCACAGAAAGAAAGCGAATAAAACAAAATAGACAGAGCGAGAAGAAAACCAAACTGAACAATTCAACCTTCAACTAAAGTAATTTGAGCTGACAGCTCCATTGGAATGGTAATGCAACGCTTTGTCGGCCGCGTGTGGCCAGGTATTAAATGTTGCGACAAATGGTGTCGTTTCAGAATGTTGGAGGACTATTGGGAAAAGTATGTTGCTACGCGACGGTGAGTTACGATAATGTTTTCCACTATCGGATTACAACTATCGTGCAACGAGAGGCTCATAGAGCGGTTTCGATTGCAGGCTCGCTATGTTACGTACGGTTCATCGATTTCCTGTCAAAATCGCAACGAGATCGCGGCGTTGACTTACGGCGATAGTATTAGACTGTGCTGTATCGAAGAGAAATTATTTTCCCGAGATCAATATTAGGTGCTCAACAGTTTAGACACCCTCTACGGAAGATTGCAATCCGTCGCCACCACAGCGCCGGCTGCAACAGTTCGAATGCAGGTCGATGCAGCAACAGCGTCACGTGTCACTTATTCGCTTTTGCATTATTAAACCTATCTCATATATTTGAGACAAGAGCTCCTTTTTTATGATATTAATCTTATTTTATGATATTACGAAATGTGAAAATTTACATCTCGTAATTATAATTGTTGCAGCAGCAAAAGATGAGAAACTATTTCTGTGAAATCCTCTGATTTTTAGATTTCAAATCTTACACGGGCAAATTCTTGAATTTTAACCCTTAAATAGGAACAATTTTTTAAATACACGTAATTCCATTTAATTTTTTATATTTTATAATTTTCCTATAAACGTTGTCGAAAGATTTTTTTGTATAAAAATTTATTACACATTTTTCGATGAACATTTTCTAAACCATTTTTCAGTTGAAATGTATGTGCATTTTGTAAGAACGGCAGTTCTTTCAATTTTCTGCTCAGCCTATTCATCGTCATAATTAAAGCCACAAGAATTTGCATTGCATATGCTGTCGTTATGAATATTTGGATTACAAGTGAATTCGCAGAATTCCTCTGAGAAATATAGTAGATATGTTTGCACACTTGGCCTTTTATTAACATTTAACTTCTGTTGAAATAACAAGTTCTACATGCGTTTTGGTTGTTTTACGAAGAAAATGTCATAACAAAATTTCTTCGATTTACGAAATTAAAATCTTTCCTTGTGTGTGCGTAGAAAGTGAATAATTTTCGTGATAACTTCAATGCGTATTTCCCGCAAGAAAGGTTCGTCAAGATAAATTTTTCCTTCCATGTGCTGCAAATAAATGCGCCAAATATATTTTTTCCCTTCTCAGTAACAACGTTGCGTTGTCCGCACTTCGTCGGCCCTCCATTAATCCGCTCTCATTCTTTACACGTGTTCGCGAAAACTGGCCCGAGCGATCTATTTTCCGAACCGGTGAGCTTAATTTGGTCATTAGGTACGAACAGACGGGATGGTTGGATGGGACAGACGGACAAATAGACAGACAGGTACTCACCATACGGTTGCGGCGCGGCGCCGTATCTTGGCTCAGCCAAAAGGGGAGCTGGCCTTCCATTTCCTGTCGCGTCGTTTTTATGTGTGCTCGAGCCTGCAACAGAACGACAGTTCGTCGATGAGACTATAATCACCTTCGACGGATACGTCGCGTAATCCCACGCGGTCACTGAGAAGACAAACGATGCGAGCCAAATGTCGCCATTTATCCCGGCGCTCCTGGCAGTTTCGACAAATTTCCGGTGGGAATCGCCGAGCAGACGAAATACAAGGAAAACACAAAGGAAATTTAAAGCTTCATATCGATATATTTACATTTAACTCGTATACGTTGCTGTACTTTGTTTTCAAGTAAACAAAAAATTTAACTTTTAAAAAAGTTTAGTTTTAAAAACGATATAATTGATTTAACACGATGATTATTATATTGGATATAAAAATTGTCGTATGTTCTATAAAATTTTAATACTGAAATAAGTATAATTTATTACAAACATCTCGCTTAATCCGGGAATAGTCACCTGGAGTATTTTTATATCCCAGCAAAAAATGTAAATTGTAAAATGGATTTGGTTTAACATATTTTTTTTCTTTTTTAATAACTCTTTACTTTCTTTTTTAATTATTATTCTTTATGAACTTTTAAATTCAATTTCATCGAAAATCTAAAGTAAAAAAAATTTCGTTAATTATCTTTATTTTGTAGAAATATTGTCGTGATAAGTCACTTAACATGCTTAATTCGTTTGTTTGGTTCCCATATTTCTTTCAAAAAATTGTAAGTAAATCTATATTCGTCTTCTCAAATATTAATAAATTGGGAACAGTCAATAATATACAATATTATACAATAATATATAGTATACTATTAATACTATAATTTTTAATTTTAATAAAAGTGATTTTTAATTTTGGAATGTAAAAATACCCTAGGTGATCGTATACGTAAAAAATAAGATGCCATAGGTCCCGATGGTCTTAAATTGATCTACTTGGACGTTATTTACGTTTATTCCCAGACCAGCACTCGTTTTGGAGCAACGTTTTCTAACAAATAAAAATTACATTTGAAACATTGTAACGCGTCTCCATCAGGTTCCTCGCGATAACAAGAGTCGATTCGAAATACGTTACTAAATTGTTTAGGAAAGACGGATGAGGTGAAACACATTCGTAATCTGCGTTTGGTTCTTCGCGCACACCGCGTCGTGCAATCCGTTTATATTAAACTGCGTTACGCCTACGTATGTATAGTAACACGTGGGTTTCTCATAGAGATGAGCGCGAGTTTTGGCAATGTTTTGGCACACCCACTCGCGTAGAGCAAATGGTGCTCGTGCACCGTGTGCGAGTGATATCGAGCTTGTTGCTGCAGCAGCAACCTATATCGATCCCTCTCTATTCCACCCCCGGAATATTCGATATCGTCATGTCTGCTCTCGACGCGGTTGCAGCCATCAACGAGGAGATGCTCATCTTCTCGTTTGAAATAGAACGTCCCTCTATCGCCCGAGCCGCATGATTGGCCCTCGCCGAGGAGGAAGCAATCGCCTTAACCCTGCTTGATCCTCTTGGATCGCATTCGATACCACTCCATTGTGGACGTACAGAATCCCAGTAGATTAATTGCTAATTAAGATCAGTATGCTAATGCCGCCATATAACTATGTAGGTACGTAGTGCATCGCGTTGGATGTAATTGCGAGATTGAATCAGGAGATTCAAAGAGCAAAGATGTACGTTTCTCTAAAATAAAAGATAAAATCCGGCGACATAATAGTCTTTTAATAATATAGTTGATATTTAAATTACGTTTCAGCACGAAAAATAAATTATTTCTTTAAAATATGAATAAAAATACAAATTACATTTTGGAATTATAAAAAATTGAATTTTTCTTTTCCAATAATTTTTGCAGAATTGTATACAAATAATCTCGACTGTTAAAATATATTTATATAAAAATGCATAATTGAATCCCATTGATGCATTAATGATACAAAACAATTCGCAAGATTGAGGCAGATAATAATTTCGAATCATTTTGCGTAATCATCGGATTCCAATAACATGGTAATAAAAGTCATCTGTTAATTTTTCCGACATTGTGGGGACGTATCTCCCACTTTCGATAATTACGTGTTGCATGAATTATTTAGATACTGAGGATAGCGGCAGCTGGAGCGAGTTTTTCAATAACGCGACAGAGAGAACGACAGACTGTGTTCCACTTGAGAAAAATGACGCACCTAGGTTCGTATCTCGAGAGCCCAGGAGAGTCTCGTGAGTCCATGAAACTCAATATTGGACTCGTAGAAGTCTCAAGCGAGACCACGAAAATTGCGATTTCGGCGATTACTGGCGGGGCTACGCGAACGTCGTGCCGAGTTTCTTGCCGTGTTTGTCTTAGTCCGGGGTTCTCCTGATAGCGACATGATTAACGAATTTAGTTTCGTCGCAGGATGGCGAACATGAAAATACTGTATCGACAACTTGAAATTGGAGTGGATAAGACAGATCGGGTCATTTATGATCCTGTTCGATTAATCCGATGAAGAACGTTTCTCCTTTCGCGGAGAAAAAGAATTTCTACACTTCCACCGAGTGAATCTGGTATAAGATTTCTCTCTTTCTCTGTATATCAGGTTCGAGCGATGGACATTCGTAAATTAATAACACCGTAAAAATACTTGTCGTCGAGTTAAATCAATACGACCCCGTCGAGAATTTCAATTTGCAAAACAATTTCGTCACTAAATTGCTGTTCTCTATTATATTTGTGATTAAGGCAGGAGAATGTCTCTGAATTATCAACTTATTAACGTTATAAATAATTCATTGTGTAATTGCGCTTCTCTTCCAATTAAAGTTGGAAGAAAAAAGAGTAGAGAAGGTCAAGAAATCCCTTCTCCGAATCCCATTGTTTGGAGATAAAAAATGTATTAAATAGCGAAAATAATACCCGGAGCCCGTCCCTCATGAATACGAATTCGTACTAGACGTCTCTTTTGTATGCACGTCTCCCTCGTAAATCTCAAGATCGAATGAACGTCAAGCGATCTATCATAGCCGTTAAATTAATAATGCCGCTGTGGATGTTTGCTGTCGGATTAAACTAGCGTGGTCCAGCGGCGCTGGGATTTCAATCTCCAAAACAATTTCATCGCGAAGCGCCCGCGCCGCATCGTAAAGGTAAATGCTATTACCGGTGTAACAGCGTCTCATCGTTCGTGGGAGGATATCCTCATGCGATCATTACAAGCGGATATTAGAACTCGTAGGTCATCTGGCTGTTGGCCGGAACGAAATTGCAATTTTATGCCCGATGAGACGCGTGATAGGGAAATTACGACTCTCCCTATTGATCATTTCGCGAGAGTCCTTCACAGGAGAGGCTATCGAAGATAGCTCTTCTTTCTTACCCCTTTTTAGCGACTGCTTTGAGAGAGAACCTCTCTCCTACATTTATCGAAGGGAGAGACACGATGGGAACGTTGACGGTGGACTTAGCACGCGGTATCGATCTTCGATGTCGCCACACAGACTATCATCGCCATTCACATGAGACGTAGAGTGAACGACAAAATTTTTATACGATTCGTTTCTAAGTAATTAAAACTGAGAGAGGAAAATATAAAATACAAATAATTTAAATAAATAAAATAATTATTTTGTATTCCTTGACAAATTGATTTACGTTAAATTTCTTCATAATTATCTTTAATTACAGGCAATAATTCTTAAAAAGTTCAGAGTTTTATATGGCTCTCTTGAGTTTTCTTTTATGATGAAGATGGAGAAGTAAAGTTATTTATCCAATTTCAAGTTACTACAAGTAATTAAAGATGTGATATATTTAATGTAAACATACACAATCTTAAAAAATAAGAAATCGATGAAACTTTTACAAAATAAGAATTGAAACTCGTAAATCTAAAATAAATAAGTAAAATAACGAAGTTCGATACACCCTGTACGTGGCTATGTAAACTCCATCGGCGCAGAACATCGCGGTACTATATCGGTCGTAGAATATAGCCGGAAGAAACGGCGTACAAATTATTTGAACAAGGGTGGGATTATTCGACGATGAACAAAAGCCCTCGTGAGATGATACCTGTATATGTTAGGGATTTAGGATTAAAACTCAATCTCGGAATCAGCACAGTGGCGTGGACAAAAACGAAAGATCGAACATTAAATACCACGCGCCCTATATGCCAATCTCCCTCTGTAAAAGTGAATCATTTTTACTGACTTCAGTGCTATACTTATAACTGATGTACACTGATTCACTTTTAGAGATTATGATTTTCTGCTGATTCAATCTGTAGAATTATAATGTAACTTCTATAAATGAATCAGTGTATTATTACTGAAAAACAGTAAGTATTCGCTGATATTATAGTTATAAGTGTGATATTATAGTTATAAGCACTGAAGTCAGTAATAATACACTGATTCATTTTTAGAGAGCTCTCTTAAAAAAAAAACTGGACTTTTTCAAGATCTCACATTTCAGATATTGATTATATAAAAAGAACAGAATAAACGAAACAACAAAATCTGAAGTCTTTGTAAGCATTGAAAACGCAGAACGAGCGCTCTTTAAATTAGGTACGTCGTAACAGGCTCGCGATCGTAAAACGTAATGGCTCCGTAACAGTTCTCCCCTGTTACGCGAATTATCAATTTTCAACTTAATAACGCAGAAGAGAAATAGCGTGAGGAGAACCTCTGGAAAAGCTTTCAGAGTTCTATTAAGCGGTCCGATTGCACTGAAAAGTGAAGGCGAACAACTTAAGCAATAAACGCAATCGGCACGTGCATGCCAAGTTGCGATCAACAGCGTGAAGAACAATTTTATGAAATATATCTACTAGTAATAAAAAGTGTTCTCAAGAATAAGTACGCTTTTTTCCGTTCAGCGATTTGAAAATTTTGTAAAAAGGAAAAAGTGCAAAAAATATTCATTACATCGAACTTTTCATACTCTTAAATAATAATAAGTAAAAAATAAAATTAATTGCAATATAATTGATAATAATAATAATACGAAAGAAAGATATGAAAGTATATCTATCTATATATATA